GCTGGATTCTTGGGTAGTGCTAATCGTAGGTTGTTCTGTGCTGCTGGAGGATGATTCCTTTGTACTCGTAGTGCTTGGACCTTCTGTGCTGCTTGAGCTGGAGTCCTGCGTAGTGCTACTTGCTGATCCTTCTGTGCTGCTTGAGCTAGATTCTTGGGTACTGGTAAGAACTGGTCCTTCTGTGGTGCTAGAACTCGATTGTGGGATAGTGCTAATAGCAGGTTCTGTGCTACTGGAGGATGATTCCTTTGTACTAGTTGTACTTGGACCTTCTGTGTTGCTTGAGCCGGATTCTTGAGTAGTGCTACTTGCTGGTCCTTCTGTGGTGTCTGAGGATGATTCCTTTGTACTAGTGGAACTTGGACCTCCTGTGGGGCCTGAGCTGGATTCTTGGGTAGTGCTACTAGCGGGTTCTTCTGTACTGGTTGAGGATGATTCCTTTGTGCTAGTAGTATTTGGAGCTTCTGTGCTGCTTGGGCTGGATTCTTGGGTAGTGCTAATCGTAGGTTGTTCTGTGCTGCTGGAGGATGATTCCTTTGTACTCGTAGTGCTTGGACCTTGTGTGCTGCTTGAGCTGGATTCTTGGGTAGTGCTACTCGCTGATCCTCCTGTGCTGCTTGAGCTAGATTCCTGGGTGGTGGCAACAGTTGGTCCTTCTGTGGTGTCTGAGGATGACCACTTTGTGCTAGTAGTACTTGGTGCTTCCGTGCGGCTTGAGCTGGATTCTTGGGTAGTGCTAATCGTAGGTTGTTCTGTGCTGCTGGAGGATGATTCCTTTGTACTCGTAGTGCTTGGACCTTCTGTGCTGCTTGAGCTGGAGTCCTGCGTAGTGCTACTTGCTGATCCTTCTGTGCTGCTTGAGCTAGATTCTTGGGTACTGGTAAGAACTGGTCCTTCTGTGGTGCTAGAACTCGATTGTGGGATAGTGCTAATAGCAGGTTCTGTGCTACTGGAGGATGATTCCTTTGTACTAGTTGTACTTGGACCTTCTGTGTTGCTTGAGCCGGATTCTTGGGTAGTGCTACTTGCTGGTCCTTCTGTGGTGTCTGAGGATGTTTCCTTTGTACTAGTAGAACTTGGACCTCCTGTGGGGCCTGAGCTGGATTCTTGGGTAGTGCTACTAGCGGGTTCTTCTGTACTGGTTGAGGATGATTCCTTTGTGCTAGTAGTATTTGGAGCTTCTGTGCTGCTTGGGCTGGATTCTTGGGTAGTGCTAATCGTAGGTTGTTCTGTGCTGCTGGAGGATGATTCCTTTGTACTCGTAGTGCTTGGACCT